TCATTAGTAGATGTCTATTCCAATAACAGTTGCAGAGAATCTTCATGCATTAAATGTAACAATTATTATGTAAAAGACATAGAACATCGTTTACATATTAATCCAGTCATTAACATTCAGATTAATCTCAACACTACTAATTGTAACTTTTTGGAATGTTTTATTTCCTCTAATCTGTTTTTATAGGAGTAATGATGTAAACAAGATTGCTTCAATGAAATACGCTGAATGAAAACTTTTGATCTTGTGAATTTTGCCAAATTAAGTTTTTTTTTCTTTTAATCAAAGTCACATGCAACTTCTTCATTGATAGGATGTTAAACTTGAAAGTTTTGTTTAATTAATAATGGTAATTATTTAAAGAGAAATAGAAATCTTTTTCTTTTGCTAAGCCACTTAGTGAAATCAGTCTTACTTTCTGACTGTTATTTTCAATTCTTTAGCTTCTTTTCTATGTAAACCAAAATATTTTCACATTAACATAGGTACCTCCGCGAGATCGCTAAAAAAAGAGCATAGCATGATGAAAAAGACGCCAAACTTGACGAAAACAAAATTTTATCGTCTAAATGTTTGTTATTATTAAGAGGAAAGGTCAAAGTATTTTGGGGGGTTTTTTTTCCATTTTTAATCGTTCCTAGCACGTCCGAAATTTTCGTTAAAAATCTAGTTTTTTTTTAGTCAGCAAAATTGACCATTTTTTTTCCATTTTAAAAAAAAATCTGACTTTGAAATTTTTTTAAATATCAATTATCATTTTTTCAAAACTTATTTTAAGAAAATCAGAAATTATAATGTTTATTTAAAATATTTTGAACCAAACTTAGCTTTTGTGCCAAAAAGATGTAATTGGAAAATAAAACAAAGCAGTTCATAAACTTTTGTGTCTCTTGACATGTGATGAATGATATATTTACGAATTCCATGAGGCTAGTTTGTTCTACGGAAGGAGAAAAGTGAAATAATTTACATTTACGTGAACAAATTATTTACCCGTTATTTTTAACGAAAACTTTCAGCGGTCTAATTTTTTTTTTTGTACTTAGCTTTCACCTTTACGTTTATGATGCTTTATGGGAAATATATTCTAAAGAAATTAAAATAAAACTGTTAAGAGGACATTAAATTTCATATTTCTTAAGAAAGGTATCTAATTAATTTATAGGTACCTTTCTTATGAAATTTTATCAGAATTGTACATAAAATACTATAATTTTATGTACATTTATTACATTCTACTGTTATTTGTATTTGCATTCATTTTATTATTAATTTTGATATTTCATTTATGGAAAATGTCGAACTGAGATTAATATAAAAATAAGATCATATAAATTTCATAAGATGATACTGATACTTGTAGGTAACCCTCTCAGTTGAAATTGAAAAATCAAATTAACTTCTCCACACGTGTTTCACAAAAGTAAAGGCCTTAACAGCGGAGAACAATGCTTAACTCAAATAACGCAACTTAATTATATTCTGGTTGGTCTTCCGTATTTTATAATTACAGCTCGATTATAAGCACAAAATTACATTTCTTAATTACAGGGGATCTTCTGATTAGTCAAAATGATACAATTTACAACGCGCTAAAAAAAAAGATCTATCTCATAAGGACACTTATGAAAGCCTGTGCAGCTTTTTAACTAATTTTATAATATTTTAACAACTTAAATGTAAAATCTATTATAATTAATGAAATAACAAATAATTGTATTAAAAATTCATTTTCATCGAAAAAATTTTTTGCTTTCAGAAAATATTGTCCATATTCATAAAAACAACTAAAAGCAAATAAAAGCATTTGAAATTAAATAATATCTTTGTTTTATTGAGTTTTGTATGTTACAATTCAGAGCTGATTTTCAGGTACTGCGATCCAATTAAAAACAAAAAAAACATGATTTGCATTCCTCAAAGCCCTGTGCTTTTTAATTATTGTAATCACTAAAACCGATGCGATCAAATTTCTAGCGTTTTCATAAAATTAGTTATGGGGGGAGTAATAAATATTTAAAAAACATATTTCTACCATGACTTTCATAAAAAAAAACATATTTATAATAATTTTGATCATCTGTGAATAGTTCCTGAAAGTTTCATTAACATCCGATAATTATTTCTATTTTTGCACGATTTTTCAAATTAATGTGAGTCATACCAAAAAAACGTGCTAAAAATTGTCTATGTTATTTACTAGTTCCACTGATACAAATAGAAACAAGGTTTTTTTTTAATCAAAATTTAGAATTTTCTAAAAAGAAGGAAAATTTTTTTAAAATAATTAAAAAAAAAAAACTTTGGTCTTTCCTCTTAATAATAACATAAGCACTTAGACAATAAAATTTTGTTTTCGGCAAGGTTGGCGTCTTTTTCATCAACCTATGCTCTTTTTTTAGCGATTTCGTGGAGGTACCTACATTAACACCCTTTCTCCTCCCAGTTCTTTGTTCTTTTACAAATTACTTTCAACCATTTCACTGCCTCTTGTATGTTAACCTTTTCTAAATTTGTTTTTAGGGACTTCATTTCTGAAACTTTCTTAGATATTCTCTTTAGAAAATATAATTGTTTCATTTGGATTTTGTAATTGACTTATTCTGAAATATAATAAAACCAAAAATCTTTATAGTTTTTATAAATGCACTGACAGGAAATCAGATTGCAATGCCTTAAATAGACTTCAAGATTCAACATACAAATAATGCAGCTGGATTATAGTAAATGATCAATATATGCACAGGTTAAAAAATAAAGGCTGTATCAACAGCACACTGACATCATATTTAACACAGGCCTATATTTTCAAGCGCATACATTCGTGTGATATTTTATTCCCTGCCTCTTACACTTGTTGATCCAATACAGTGAGAGTTGTAGGTGGGTAAACTGAATGAATCAAGCATTGTCCCCCTCCTATGCCATATCTGTACAATGGGGGTCAGATCAGGCAATTATGCCAGCCATAGTTGTTGTTGAACATTGTGTAGTGCATGATTAATAGCATGGGCATCATGTAGGCAGGCATTATTCTGCTGGAGAAACACATCACCTTTCCCAATGCAGGAATAGCTAGGAACCACCATGCCACCTACATGATGTCAGCTCATCTTCATACCCTTTGTTTTCATTTAGAAAATTCCACTAAAATAGCTCCTTCCCCAGAACTGTCACTTTATGGAATGGACTCCTGAACAATCTTAACCTCTTAAAGTCACCCGTTGCCAATCCTACATATCTTTATAATATGCACTTATTCCTGCTCCCTTTACACTCTCATAACAATTTAATTCAGTAAACCTCTATCTAGAGTGGCTCTTGGGCCTTGTATTGGGTGAACAATATGGAAAAAAAAAAATTGGACAATGTTCTGTGTATACATTATGCTGTTCAACATTCCCTCAAACAGCAAAGGCAAAAGAGGGTTGTAACTTCTGACACTTTGATGCTGTGGGTTAGGCAAATATATTCTAGCAGATGTCACTCTTCAAGACCGCATCATACACCAACAATTATCACTTTCATAAAGGCAGAACCTGCTCTCATCCCTGAACATCATTTCATCACTTCAGGTGACCCTCTTGTGTCACCACTGGAGACATGCATGGTTGTATTGTGGCCAAAATGGAAACTTGGCAAGAAATATGTGTACACAGCAGTTAATGTTGCCATTCCTGAAGTGATATTGGCTCTGTGCAGTCTGTCACTGTTGTCCTCCTAGAATCTATTGATCTTGGCAAGCAACAGTATGACATGACCATCCAGAATCAGGTTGATTGGTGCAGGAATGTTCTCTTGGCCCCTAATATCCGACATGCACAGCAATTCTCTGAAATGGTAATCCAACTCCTAACAAATTGCTCTAATTGAACAGAAAAGAGTGTAGCATTACACCTGCTTTTACTGGATTCTTTCTACAGAATTAATTTTTATCACAGGCATCAACATCTAAAGCTCAAACACAGAACATTTCACTTATGTCATTGTATTTTAATTGTGATATGGGTTGGGGAGGATAATTCTAAAAAAATAAATTTTAATTATAGATGATAATCTCTTTGAGATTTTGAATTCATATTAATTTTAGTTTGTGTATTTACTGACTGCTATCTTCAGATAAAATCACTTGTTTTGCTACATTGCTTGTCTGGTTAAAAGTTCCAACATATTCAATCCATCAAAACTGAAAGATGGCATAAGGTCATGGAAAACTAAGGAAAAAACTTTGAATATAAAAAAAAATATTTTCTCAAAAATGTGCTGGAAATTTTTCCTTCAAGCTAATAATCATAAATTAGAACATTTGAAAAAAAATGGGTTTTTGTATTGCAGATCAAAAAAATCTTGTTTTAATGTAGTTAAATGTTAAGAAAGTTTTCTCTTTTCCTTTCAGGGAGCTGTACAGTGAAGTGGGAAAATAAGACAATGTATGTGATTGTGTCTGTATTTGGATTGGCAATTTGAATTCCAGTTTCTTGTAGACACAAAGCTACCAAATGTCTCTTTACATTTTATTTTTTTTGCATCTTCTTTGCAAATTTCTGATAGACTAAGTTTTTTTTTCCTCTTTACTTTCCAGTTCACATAACAGGAAAAAAAAAAAAAAATGGATCAAAGTAAATTTATTTATTTTGTTCTCTTATCAACTGATAGACCAACGTTCACATTCTAAATAAACATTTTTAACATATTTATTTCTTACAAGTTTATTATTTTAACTAAATATATTGGAGCTAGGTTGCACTTTCATAATTTGACATTCTTCAGAGAATTACACTTTCGAAAAGTATGTTTTTGGTTGGAAGGAATACAATATTGACAAAAACGCAACTAAGGACTGTACTTGAGCCATGCAATTCCCTTGTGGAAATACAAAACTATGAGCCATATTCTAGAAAGATTTTTTGTTTTCCAATATTACAGAAGATGAACATTTTGTTAAAGAAAATAATTTAATAAAACTACAAATGGTTTATAATAAAAAATATTCAATTTAATCACAAACTTTGCAATGATTCAACATTTTTTACAAATCTTCTATCAACAATTGTAGGCTTTGGTTTTTCCAGTGCAACTGTCTGTTGAGTTGTGACTTGGCCAGATGCTTGGGGTGCTGTCACAGTTGCTACATTTCCAGGGTAGATATTTTGGTGTTGGTTACTTAATGCAGCAATATACATTGGATTGTATTGTGGTGTTGTCATAGCAACAGGTTGACCCCACATTTGGGAAGATACTATACTGTCAGAAGAAGCAGCAGCAGCAGCAATTGCCTTACTCGACTCATTTGTTTGTAGTTGTTGTTGGTATTTTGCAGCAGAATTGTTGTTTGTTAATTTCTCCTTTTCATCAGGAAGTGGGATTGCAGCCAAATCTGCTATGGTTTGAACAGTCTCTGTTTTTTTGGCCTCTTTTACAATTTCATTTTTTTCTGATTTCATTTTATTTTTTTTGAATTTCTGGAGTAATGGTTTCTTTTCTGCAGTTGAAGAATATTGTTGTTCTTCTTGCTTCCTTTTTGAATTTGAAGCAGAATTTGAGATAAAATAAGAACTTGGAGGTGCAAATTCAGAATGTCTTTCTTCTCGCCTTTCTTTGAAATATTTCTTCTCCATTTCCCAAAATTCTATTTAAAGAAAAATAATAAAATATTTAATATCTTCTGCATAAATAAATCATTTGATATATTTAGTCACATTTTGACTTTATTATTACAAAATCCAAATTACATATGTTGGAATAAAACAGAGGTTGAAAATTTATTCTAAATTATCAGTGGACATTAAATATTTACTGTTTACAATAGAAATTTGACATGGTTTTTTGTTTTACAGTTTCACTCACTGAAAAAGGTGATAATTTTTCATGTGTGTCTTGAATTTTTTTTTTTTACCTCCCCAATATATAATAATTGAGTGGGGATCAATTTATTACTTAATAACAATAGAAAGCCAATCACCTACTTTATATTAATAAATAACAGCCTTCTTTCTTTTTTTTTCTTTGACTGATTTTTGCCCAAGAACCACTCAAGGTAGAGTTTTACTGTGTGGTGTTGTATGAGCATGAAAGAAAAGGCAAGAAGTGAAGTTCATGAAGTTATATAGGAAAGACAATGGTTAGGCCTAGACTTGAATAGAGTCTGTTCCACAAATCGGCAATTCTTGGGAAGAAGTTGTTAAAGTGGAACTTACTTCTTATTAATGGAATAATCCTTATGGACATGGCTGCAATAATCAGGAATGGGGTAACCAAAGAATGTAGCTCATCAGAACATTTGTCATGGAAATAACAATACAATAGCAAGAAGCTTGCAACGCTTCTTCTGTGGGGGAAAGGGGTTGTAGGGTGGAAAATAATTCATCACTCACAAGGCTGCTTTGACACTTTTGAACTCTATCAAGAGGCAAGTAATGACTGGGCAGCACCAGACCAGATATGACAGCTGTTCTGGCTTTTGTAAAGATAAAAGTGTAATGGGGCGGGGGTCAGATACTTACTGAAGTGATGATACAAGGAACCAACCATTTTTAGCAAGAGATCATGTAATATACGAGTTCCACTTGAGGTTTGGGGTGAGCTGGAGTCCCAATAGATGTTCAAGGCAAGGCGTTATCATGGTAGGGGCTTATTCTTATAAGGTTTTCTTCACATGTCCTTCTCAAAATTTATTTTTCCAATTTTTATTGTACACTGCTTTTTCACCACACTACATCATAAACATTTTTTAAACAGTCTAGTATTTTTTTTTTTTTTTTTTTTTTTTGCATTTAGTGTCACCAGCCAAGTAAAGTATAGAAAAAAACCTTACAAATCCATGTGGGGTTTTATTTAGACAGATTATTAATTCAGCAACAAGTTTGACTTTTTAAAAACTGAAACTTTTTGACTTTGTATTTAACAAAGAAAAGATTCAATTGGCAATAATTTTCATCTTTTTCTGTTTGAAACATTTGGCTTCTGTAAAGTCAGTTCTATCCAATGAAAGAAAAAAAAAAAAGTCATTTTATATAGAAAGGCGCTGTCTACTTACTGTCTTTTCCAAGATCCCATTCTCGAACAGGTGCAGGGTTCTTTGCAACATTTTCAGTTTTTACTTCTTTTGAAATACTTTCTTCAATCTTGGGCTCTGAAAAGTCAAAATATCAGAATTTAATTACCATATATACTCTAGTATAAGTGTCAGATTTTACAATCAGTTTTTAATGCTAAAAATGGGGTTGCACTATACACAGGTAAGTTTTTCTTGAAAAGGTTAAAGATCATGCATTTTTAATGTCCCATTGCACTATACACAGGTAATTTTTTTTTTTTTTTTTTTTTAGTGGGGGTTAAAATTCATGCAAAATTTAGGAGTTATTCACAAGTTTATAGAATATGCAACTTTATTTTCAACTTTACAATTTTTGGCTCCTTACCTGAATATGATTCATCTTTTGTCTCTGGCTCTGGAGGTAAACCCATTTTAGCTCTTTGCCGATCTTTGATCTTCTTCAGCCGTGCAGCCATGAGACTGTCACGTTTTTCTTTCAGTTGATTGCGTTTTTCTCGTTCATCTTTTGTCTGTGCAAAGAAATTATTCCTGTTTATAAAAAGGTAACACATTTAAAGTTTTACAACTGTGTTGCAAATATATATAAACAAATAGTAATCTTTTGTTGAGGCTGATGACAAAAATTACAGGGTACATTGGATTCATACCTTTCCAAAAAGGCATCAGGATGAAAGCAGTTTACATAAATTTGAACATTCATCATTTTAATTAACATTGTGCTAATTTACAAATCCACAGGTAAAAAGGAGAATATTTTCTAAAGTTTTTAAGAATTATCTTTTATCATATTGTCTTTAATTTCTCCTTTAAAAAAAACTTATCTTCTCTTAATGGGAAACAGTAAGAATTTTATATAAATTTTTTACTAAAAACCTCGGTGCATAGATTTGGATTTAAACTTTTTGGCACATTTCAAACCTGCTTTGCATTTTCATCTATTGACTTAATGATGTACAAAAAAAAAAAAATTCTTAACTTTTTCAATATATTTTTCTTCTATTGATATTAATTTTAAAAATAATTCAGATGAAGCAAAAAAAAAAAAAAAATATATTTTACTTGATTCCTTAAGGAGTTGAGTAAATGCATTTGTTCTTGTCTTTCTGTTTCGTCTTTGGAAAACTGAAAATAACCCACACCATGAGTTCGGATTTCTAAAAAAAAAAAAAAGATTTTATATATATATATATATATATATATATATATATATATATAAAGGTTTTAGACAACTCAGTCATTATTTCTGACCACTGCACATAATCAACTGCCTTCTCACATGTAATATTAATGAACAAAAAATTGCATTTACCATCAAATCTGACATTTTCATAATGAACAGGACCCACTGGTTTGGCTTGGGCATCTTCTTCTTCCTTCTCCCATTTCTCTTTCAACATTTGACAATAAATTTCTTGAGAATTCAAACCACAAGAGGATTTACTACTGCCAATAGAAGATTCCTTCATGTCATCATTATCTTCTTTCTTTTGACTGTTAAAGTATAAAATTATATATATATGAGAGAGAGTGTGTGTGTTTAGACAATGATGAACAAGCAAAATGGATACAAAAAAAAATTCTTTGTGTATCATTAAACAATTTGTACAATTCATTTTTAAAGGGATTTAACTCACTTTCATGAAGAAGTTAAATTTACTAATAAATTATATAAATACTTAGCCAAACTTCTGCGTGTCAGATTCCTTCAGGACATGGGCAATCATGGCTCTCCCAAACTTCCTATCCCTTGTAGCTCTTAAGTCTTTCTACTTTTGCTAAGGCTCCTGCTGCCATCCATTCACATACGCTCATCAGGTAGGTAACTCTGCCTTCCCCTCTCTCTCTTGCCCCAATATACCCTGTAAAGGGTTAAGTCTTTCAAGCCCTTCTTCCTTATTATGTAACCAAGGAATTTCAACCATCTCTTCCTGATTCAGTGCATATGTTTTTTTTGTTATCATTTTCTTTAAGACTTCTTCATTACTCATTCACTGCACCCATGAAATTCTCAGTATCCTTCTGTTGCCTTTAGTTTTCCCCTCACCCATGAGGAGATTGTCCAGCATTCACTGCAGTGTATAAAAGAATTGATATTATATAACCTGCGTGTTTGGATTTCAGTCCTGTTTTTCCATTGCCCTCTATTGAAACCCTCTCCAGACATGTAACTTTTGTACTTGCCTGATGTTGACATCTCTAATTTGTAACTCACATCTTGGAACTTTTCCTCTTGCTGTTGACCACACACTCAGTCTTCTTGAAGTTCATGGTGAATCCTTTATTTATTTCTCACTTTCTTTTACTACCCCTGTCTAAGAGGTCCTGTAGTTTTCTTTCCATGTCAGCCATCAACAGTATCATCTGCATATATTGTTCAAATTACACCTGCCATTAATAAAGCTTGGTAATGCCTTCAGCTTCCTGAGGATAACCTTACTGTAGAGGTTTGAATAAGTCTGGGGAGAAGACACATCCTTGTCTTACAGCCCTGTAGCGGTGACTTACCTCAGCGACCCAAAAGGGCCAGAGTTGCGTGTATGTTTTGCAAGAGAGTGTGGAGACAGCAAATTGATGCTTCGGACAGACGGTGAATCTAGCACTTTGTGCTAATAGTGGTGGTGTCACTTTTAGCCATTTTTATTGGCTGGTTCTGGACGCTCATTGGCTGGATCAGGTGTATAGAAGAATGGTATGCTCATTTAACAGGTGTTGAGATTGTCATTCAGGATGGTGAGTGGCATCAAGTCGAGAAGTGTGGATTTGTTTTGCCGAGTGAACCTATTGGACTTGTCTACCTTATTTTTCCTGTGTGTGCTTCCAACCAATTTTTGCAACAAGCTATTTTGACAATTGCTCGCCCCCTTTCAAGGCCTTTGACATCCAGCTGATTCCTGAGTACAGCTGTGCCGCAACTGACCTGCCGATCGTAGAATGGATTGAAAACATTGAGTTAGTTTGTGAGCTCTGTGCCATGGACAAAGTCGAGTGTGTCTTGCCGCTACAACTTTGAAGTGGTGCTCTCACCGTGTACCGCAGAAGAGATCAAACGGGCCCTAATAACCGCATACCCAACAGATGAAACAGTGAATGAATTTTTGGCCGAGTTACATCACCTATCTCAGCTGATAGGAGGATTGCTGCCAGAACGTTGGATGGTGTGCACATTTGTATCCGGCCTGCCACAACATGTTAGACAGCTTCTTTGTGCGTTTTCTAGGATGGAGACTATGACTGTGGAGCAGTTGCTAACCTGGGCACAGGTTATCATGACTGATGACAAGTAGCACAAGGAATTGGTCGCTGTGTCTGCTCAACAAACATGTACAGACAAGGAAGTTCTTCTCACTAACTCATGTAGAGGAGCTGTCATGTGCTATAGATGCTGTGGTCCTAACCATATAGCCAGAGATTGTATGTAGGGCTGTTCAGAGAGGATGGATAATCGAGCGCAAAGGACTTGCTATGAAATGAGGTGTTTTAAATGTTACAAGATCGGGCATATATCATCGGAATGCACACATCAGGGAAATGCCTGAGGGAAGAAGACATCACCGCCAGTCTTCTTCCCAAACAATTACATAAATGGGAACTGCCTGCTGTAGAGGTATTTGTCAATGGACAAAAATGTGCTGCTCTGGTAGACTCTGGGTACACATAGACACTGGTGAGCAGAGCTGTATGCCGTCTATGGAGGCAGGAACCCGAAGGAGGCTACGCCGAAGGGTGGAGTCTCCTTCGGGGAGGTAAAACCGGCCCTGAACCCGTTTATGCGGGTTCAATGGGCTATTTTTTGGGCAGGCTCATCCTGTAACGAGGCCCTGATTGTTGATAGATGATTGTTGGGATAGGATCTTCTTCTCGGGATCGACGCAATCAGGAAGCTTGGAGGCATGCACTTAACCAGATCGGGTGAAGTATGCTTTCCTGATGAAAGCCTAAGCCTGTGTGCCACTATTTCTACTGATGAACCTGACTTTAGCATAACATTCGACAACAATAATAGGGTATGGACTGCCTCATGGAAATGAGCAAGTGGTCTCACACCCAGTGAATTGAAAAATAAGGTGCAAGAATATACAGTGCCCTCCTATGCTTGGGATGCATACAAGAAAGAACTTTTATTGTGACAACAAAATAGATGGTTGTTGCCATATCCTAAAAAGGACCTTGGACCACCAAAGGGTTTGATTCCTTTGATGGCAATTGTACAGGAGCACAAGCAGAAGGACCAGCCAGTGTTAGACTATCGCACATTCACTGCTGATGCGGACATGTGCACGAAGAAGCTTCGAGAATGGCGATAACAAGGAGCCAATGTATCGCTTTTGAACGTAAGAAATGCCTATTTGCAAATTCATGTTGATAAGGCATTATTGCCCTTTCAGACTGTGGGTTTTAAGAGTCAGCGATTTTTGCCTGACACAATTGGGTTTTGGGTTAAATGTGGTGCTGCTCATCATGAAAGCAATCATCGATGCAGTAGTGAATCAAGATCAGACAATTAAGAGCGCCATGTCGGCATATATTGATGATGTTTTCGTCAATGAAAAACTGATTTCTGCAGCGCAAATGCGGAGCATCTCTCTGATTATGGGATCGTCTGTAAAGATCCAGAACAATTAGAAGATGGAGCCAACATCTTGGACGGCATACTTTGATGGAAACGGGGAAGTGAAGTCCCAGACATTCCACAGATCGTCACCCATCAGAGAATCTTTTCCCTATGCGGGAAACTTGTGGGCCGTTTCCCTGTGTGTGGCTGCATTTATAAATCGACAGGTGACTGCCGTGACCAATGGATGGGATGATGAAGTCAAGGATGGCTTTCTCCATTGCATGCTAATAGAAACAGTGGCCAAGGTACGCGAAATGGATCCCATGAGAGGAGACTAGTACGTTGATGGTAGTGAGATGAAGGTTTATGTGGCCACAAGTTCTATGGCCACAGGAGTGGCACTAGTATTGAATGGGAGCATTGTGGAGGATGCTTGTTGGTTGCGTTCAGCTGAAGATGCAGAGTATATCAATTTGGCTGAGCTCAATGTAGCAATTAAAGGTGTAAATCTGGCTGGCGGGCATCGATGTTACATTTGGTTACGGATTCGACCTGTATATATTGATGGATATCAGACACCCTGACTGGAAAGGCACGGGTAAACACAAAGGCGGCTGGTAAGATGGCACTTGCAAGCATTGACAGAGGAATACACCTTAACGGTGGATGTGACGCTGGTGAAATGCTGTTTAAACTGCGCAGACTGCCTGACCCGAGTGCCACGGAGGTGGTTAGATTTACATAGGCATGAAGACGAGCCACTGTTGAAAGGCTGCACCATTATGGAGAGTAGATTGAACAAGAACCAGGTGACTAATATACACCACCAAAATGGCCACCCAGGTGTGAAGAGGACTTTATATTTTGCCAGGTATGTTGACCCATTAGTGTCTAGAAAACTTATCGAATCTGTTGTCAAAACTTGCAAAGCCTGTCGGTCAATTGATCCAGCACCTGTGCATTGGAAGAAGGGGACACTAGGTGTAAAAAAAAAAATTAACTTGGAGTAGATTCATGATGAATATTACCCACTACAGAGGTGGTCATTTTCTAACACTTATTGATTGTGTCCTTCTTGATTCGCAATATGGCAACCACTGCATCGACAAGACTCCACTGGTGTTATTCGTCAGCTGGAATCAGTTTTCTATGAGTGGGGCCCGCCAGCTGAAATATTGACAGATAACGACACTGCATTTAACTGTAAGAACTTTAAGAAATTTTTTAAATAGCTGGGGGGGGGGGTACACTTGAGCTTCCGATGTGCTCATGTACCAGCTGGGAGTGGGATTGTGGAACACTATCATAGAAGTATCAAGACCATCACAGCCAGAAAGCCAATGCCAGAGGTGGTCTATTGACACAATGTAACTCCTAAGGATAGTCTTTCAACTTCCACAGCACTGGTCAACGTGCTGTATAGGTACCACATCCAGGTGCAAAACATCAATGCCACGCACTCATTTGCACCACAAAACATTCAAGGAGTATACAAAGAAGGGGACATTATCTGGGTAAAATCAACACAGTAGATGCACGACCAAATTCAAAATGGGTCACGTAACCCAAATAAACAGTTTGTAGTCGGTGCGGAACACCACAGCATGTGAAGAATTTATGCCCTTTTTTGGGATCATATCCATCATCAGACTCTGATAGTGACACTGAGGAGAGTGAACGATTTGTGTATTTAAAATCTAGTTCACCAGGTGATTCCTCCAGTATCAACAGTTCAGAGACCAATGCTGGAGCACCCAATGACACTCCAGGCCATAATTCATCTGAGAAAGAAACTCTCGTTCTTCTTCTTTTAAGGAGTATCCGACAGAAGAAGCTATTTTTGTGTAACTACTCAATTCATTTTCTATCCATATGCAAGAGGTTTGCTCCCAGGATAAAATTCTAACATCCTTTCCAAATATGTCTAGTTTTCTTAGCTAAACTAAGAGGATGAAATTGACACAAGAGTTGTCTAAAGAGAATTCAAATAAAGCTAAGAGGTAATTTCTTACAATACTGAATCATACACTTTACAAAAGAATGTCTTACTGAGGCTCATTCAAATTTAGAACAGATTGAACTGATAAAAGAAAGAAAGCAATTTATATTTGAAAAAGTTTTCTTTGTTCCTATTATGATAATAGAGAAGCTTAAAACTAAAATCTTTATCAAAGTTAATGATAATTTACCATTCTGTAAGGGTGGGTATATAATTTCTAACTAGCATTAACTAAAGTGGGTGGAGTTCCTGCTATTATAAAGGTTATAATCGCTTTTGCAAAATGGTAACGACAGTTTAACCTAAAATAACCTCAATACAAAAGCAAAATTTTTCCACTCTAAAACAATTGAAAATCAATAAAAATGTAAACATCCCTTCCCTACCTGGCAGGTAGTATTCCCATTTCTTTATCTCTTCTTTGCATTTTCTCCAAATCTTTCTTCATACATGTTCTTGTCCTTCCAAGACTGTCTGTGTATTCCACCCTGTAAAAGTAAAATAGTTTTTTTATTACAATATTTTAGTTAATTTGGTTCATTTCTTGACTGTAGTCAAGGTTTCACATGAAAATATAAGCAAATTCAACCATAGTTTCTCTTATTTGATTAACAAATATATTTTTGAAAACTATTTTCATTGTATTACTCGTTAATGATTTCGTAAATTTATATCACAAAAAATTAATTTATATAATTCAGAAGTCCTCTTTTCGCATTTGCATTCACATAACAGAGTTGCCTCCCTTTATCCGTAGCCAACTTCAAATATAATTATTAAAAAAAAAAAGTTTTTATTTTTTCTTTCCTTTGGTCTCAGAGCGCAAGAAAATCGACGATGCGTGAAGCAAAAACCATAAAATATTTTCCTTTTAATTGAAAAGATAAAAGTAATTGACTTAATAAGGAAAGAAACAAAAATCATATGATGAATTTTGATACAGTAAGGATCAATCACAAACGTTTTACAATATATTGTTTTGATTGTTCTATTTTATTATTGTTATTAATCTCATATTGTGCCTCAATTAGAAATTTAACTTTATCATATCTATGTAAGAATAGGGTTCAGACATCTGTTGAAGCTCTTGTGAATGGGATGGGGATTATATTAGGATTAAAATATTAATTCTTGGATAGTTATCAATTTTGTTTTTAATAAAAATCAGTTTCTAAAAATATTTAACTTTATTTCATTCAAACCACTGGAAAATAAAGAATATAATTGCAGTAGAAAGTAAAGAAAATTATACAAATTCCTGGTGGAGAAAGCATTTGAATTTCAATTCATAGCATTCACAATAGTTCCACTTGCATAAAATTGCTCAAATATCAAGGGAAATGTTAAGCAGTTAAAAATGCGCCTTGTGCATAATTTCAAAAAGGCTTTCAGTTCATTTGAATGAGACAGAGAAGCACTTGTCACCTGTAAGAAGAGTTGAGCCATGGTTCAACAAATTCCAGCAAGCACATGTAAGACACAAAATAAGCATCCACGTGGTCAATCATGAGTGAGTGAGTGCCAGAAGATAATTCACAAATGACCAATTAAGAATTAGCATTGCAGTTCAACTAACCAACGTCAAGAGTCACTAAACACAGAAATTAGTGACAGATGACAACTAAAAATCACAAATTGAGGAAATAAACATGTTGGGGGGCATCTAAAGTACAAGTACTGAAGAGTGGTGCATGTATATCAAAAGATGATGGAAAATGGATACTATGATCATAATCATGCCCAAGCATCAGAAAAGGATTTACATTTATTGCCAAACTTGCATAGTTACAAAGCATGGCTGATGCAATGGTAGAAAAACATTTGAAATTTCTTCTGTGTCCTCAAACTTTTGTTGGTAAAGTATTTAGTTGCTAACATTTATAGAGAAAACAGCTGGGGCCTGACATTAGCAGTTTCTTATGTTAATGTTGTCACTCATATATTTTGTATAATATTTAAAGCTTTTTCATTTTAGCTAAAGAAAATGAATTACATTGAAATCTTTTCATGAAGTTGGGAAAAAATTGGAAAATGAAGATTTTAATTTAAATACTAAATTTTGAAACAATATTATTAAAAAAATATTCAAAGTTGAGAAAAAAAAAAAAAATTTCTCCCACAAATTTAAGAACTTTTACCATTTCTCATCTGGGTTGCTTGGAGAATCCACAAATTCATCTTCAAAATAATCATTTTCTTCTTTCTTTTCCTTATTTTGCTCTTCTTGTAATTTATCAATTGCTTTTTTCTGAAAATCCACAAGAAATCTTTGGCTTCCATCTTCATCTATAGCATTAAAATAAAAAAAATTATTTAGAAGAAAGAAAAATCTTTAGAACCTCAAAAAACAACTGTTGACTAGCACAAAGTCAGTGAAAAGATAGAGAGCAGCAGAAAGACTAAAGATGAGGGCCTGATGAAATTGGTGGGGGGAGGGGGGTCTGGTATTATCTTAAGCAATTCACATATTGTCCATGAAATACAGAAATAGTTTGACTTTCTAAAATCTCTAATTACAAGTTTAAAACAAATCAGACAAAAACATTGAAAAAAAGCAACAAAAATACAAACATTAGTAACCACAAAAAATGATGGAATTATTTTGGATTTGGATTTTTACCTACTTGACACTTTAGTCAAGAGGACTAGGATTGGGGTTAATATCTGTGTGCTCTGAAAAGTGTTATATGCACAGATTATATAACTTCAAATGTTATTTTTATTGGATATCCAGGTTAAAATAAATGCCCCATTTTTTTAAAATTTTATTTTAAACAGTATATTATGCCTACTAGCCTACACAGTCAAGAAAACTTTATAAAGAAAATTCACTTCAACTTCAAAGCATAAAAAAAAAAATGTGCCTGTGAAAATCTGTACAGCATGAGGACTCTTTACAAATAATTCCACTCTATATAAATGACTTCATCAGAATTAAATTTCTACATATCAACTGTGGTAAGGTGAAACCAATTCCTGCTAAAAATAATGCTTGAAAGACAATAAAAAAAAAAAATGGGATCCATGGAAAAACTTGGAAATTAAGTATGGCAGATCATGTATGTAGAGAAAGCATTTAGAATAAGGTCAAAATATGTAGAACGTCATTGAAGACGAAGACGCTTCAAAGAATAATTGCATATGTTACAGAATTACATTATATCAGCCAAGTATAGATATCAACCCAATTAGGAGAAACAGTTTTATTAAAAAAAAAAAAAAAAAAAAATCACTGCTTGAGTGTTGGGGCTTAGTGAATAAGAATCCTGCTGATAAGGTTCATGTGATTTTGTAGAAATCAGAATTTATTCTGTCAGAGAGTGTGGAACCATGACTCAAGGGAAGAAGGAAGTTATAAACATGAATGGATGTGACAGGGATAAAAATGTAAACAGCACAATGTTGTGGATGAAATCAAGGATTTTGTTCCCATCAGAAAGGTAAAATGAAAAACACAAATTGGTCAAAATGAATCAATGTACAAAAAGGAAGAGGCAAAAATTAACAGATGCTTTAATTTATTTGACTTGGTAATTTTATTTGAACAGCAGAGCCTTTTGACTGCATTTTCTTGCTTACATAAGAGATATATCCAAACCTTAAGTGAAATTTATATATATCCATTACTAAACATACTGGAAAAATGCTCAGTACATTCTATTGCTCCAGGAAGTACCAGGCTCCTGCCACTATGCTCTATGTTTACAAGAGTCAGATTAGATTCTGTCTGGGCTGGTGCTGCACATGCCTCACTTTTCAGCCTTGATAGAGTTCAACATTATTATTATTATTATTTTCTTCTCTGCAGCCTCTTTTCTCACAGACACAATGCTGCAAACATAATTTCCTACACTATTGTTATTTCTGTGGCAAATGTTCTGTTAAACTCCATTCTTTAGTGCCACCAATTCAAAGCTCTAAAGCCAAAACACACCATGCTACACCCACGGAGTTGAACCACCCTCATTTCCTCTGTATTCCAAATGTATGAAGAAAATCTTTTTTTTTCCCCTACAAAAACTACTACTTTTTGGGACAGACTCTTACACAGGTGCTTTTCTAAACACTACAAGTTTAACCTCTTCAGATCCTGTTGTTATCTATCCTCCTTATTCTCATAATCTTCACTTCCTAACACCTCTTCTTTCATTCAAATCACACATTATTCATCATAATCATTTCAACAGCAATTCTCTACTTTGAGTGGCTCTTAAGGTATTTATTAGTTGATATTTAGCATTTTTATATATATATATATATATATATATATATATATATATATACACACACACACACAGTAAAATATACATAAAGGTCATATTTTTCCACAATGAAAACCAAATGCTAAACATACCAGGGATACTTGAGTCGTGGGTTATCTTTTCATATAGTTTACTTTTAGCTTCAAGGGTTTTCCTGAAAAATAAAAGCACATTCATTCTTATATATTTTGTACTAGCCAAATGTTGTTATTTATAACAAGATGGCAACACTGGTTCAACATTTCATTGCATGAGAATGCCTAATGATGTTTTGAAGCAGGTAATAATTAAGATTTAACAGTGAAAATCTCAGGGAAAGTAATATTGAGAAGTATAGAGGAACAGCGTTGTTCATAGATCATTCCCTGCTGCTGCTATTAACAAACACAAGCTCAAACAGCCTAAAACAAGGGCCCCTTTTTTTTTTTTACTACACATTACAACTAAAAAATTTTCCTGCAGAAACATCATCGACCAGGTTATATAGAAATATTATTAATTCCTCACTCATTATGAACTTTTAAATTCTTCACTTTGTTTTTATTACATTTGTTGCCAGTTATCAAAGCCTGTTATTGGTTTGTGTTGTGAAATTGGTTTTCAGCAGTGAAACGTTACCAAATCTGAAATTTCAGTAGGAATCACAGATCAATGAGAAGTAAGCATCAAATAACATGTTAGCAACAAACCTTGACTTTTCATGCAAGTCTTCTTCCTCAGTTTTTGCAACTAAATCTTTCTGGGCCCTTGCAGCAACACCTGCATTTTTCTTGCTGAAGATTGTTTGCTTCTGAAAAGAGAGTGCAATGAAATATTTAAAATATTTCACGTTTAAAAAAAAAAAATTTTCATTAATTCAGCTTGCAGCCAAACATTTTTTTTTTGTTCACAAAAAAAAAAAAAAAAACAGCTTTCTTAAGCAGGCTGAGAACTTTTCAGCAACTCCAATATATATATATATATATATATATATATATATATATATATATATATATATATATATATATATATATGGATGTATAAGTGGTGAAATGACTAGAAATTCAGAGTGAGAAATTGGAGAGCAGAGTTCAAATTCTAGTCGGATTCATATGTTGGGAAAGGTATGAATCCATCTCTTTCCACCCCCAGCTATGTGTTAAATAACAGAACAGACTGGGATCTCCAGCCATAGTTGGCAACCAGTCTAGGAGAAGGTCAACTCTGAATTCAAAAATGTAAAAATTGTTCATGGTTTATATATATATATATACTTTATTTTAGGATATTACATCAAAAAGATGTCATAAAATGCTATACAAGTGCAGTCGTGTTCCGGTGCATATCAATGCATCTCATCAGGTGATTGTAAATTAAATTACTGGCAAGTGAATGATTTATTCAGATTTAAAAGCAAAATACAGCCTCTTTTTATGAAAAAAAGAAAAGAGTGGAGGTGTTTATAAGGTGAGTTTTGTGAGCTTTATTCAGATCAATCAATCAAAAATGACCTACATTAAATTTAAACTAACGGAAGAAGCAAAAATGAAGAAACTACTTTTCATAAATGGGTCATGACCAGCAGATTTGAAATCAATGGCATCAACAGATTCCAAACAAGAAGAGTGGATGCAAATGAATTTGATTATTGTACACCAGACAATGTCATTTCCTAAGAAAAATTAAGTGGTAATCTAACAAAATGCTAGACAAGTTACATGCCCTGTGAGTTTCCTACATGAAAAAAAAATAACCCCCCTTTTTTTTATAGTTGGTAAATAGCGTCTTTAAGAAACCAGTAAATAATTTAAACATACAGACTTTCTTGGTAAATTAATATGAAAATGTTGACTAAATATTCTTTATATAAGATGTTAAGAACAATAACCAATCAATGCAAAATACCAATCAAATACCAATATATCTGTACAAGATGTTACTAATACTACCAGGAGATTAATACAAAATTATATTAAATCCACATTAATCTTACAAATAGAAAGATAAGCCATATATGGTGCAACACTGTTCAACTAAAATCTAAGAAAAAGTATTGTCAAATTTTAAGTCTAAGAGAATTGTAATTTAAAAGGTAGACTGTGTTTACAATTTACTGTTAATTCAGTCTTTAGTTTAATAAAGTGTTCTTATCAAAGAATCTGATAATTTGCAATTTTTTCCTGTAAACACAGAAAACAAGGTTCATATAAGGATTTATATGTCCTTGCCATTTTTAAAATTTTCCATTTCATCTTAAAAGTTTTATTATAGTCTTTCAAACTACAAAAATATTTAGAAAGAAACTTATATTATTTCTATAAGTATTATTAGAAAAGAACAATACATGTTGATACCGCCTAGTCATGAAAGAATTCTTAGTACTACCAATATAGAACTTTTCAAGTGTCAGATTTTCTATAGTAGAGATATAACAAAGGTAAACAAGAGATTTAGTTAAACATTTGTTTGGCAATGGGCATTGGTCAGGATTCCTACAATTACATTAGCCAGTATCCTTAAGAACATTTTCCTTGGAATTTGTAATATGATTCAGATTATTAAATTGGTTTATAGTTTTATTGTTGTGTAACTTTATGATTTTCTCAAGATTATTGGTGCAGCTATAACTTAGTTTTAATAAAGAACATTGCTCTATTTGTATTGAGCTCTCTTTCAAATTAAATGTTACAAATGTTGGAATTGTACTCTATTTGTTCTCATCTTACTTGATGGAGATATATATATATATATATATATATATATATATATATATATATATATATATATATCCCCCTTCACAGCAACCATGAAAACTGACAAAAATGACCAAAAAGGGAATTCTGAGTTGTATCTATCTTAAAAACAACTTAAAAGAGGCCATTTGACCAACATGAGGACTGACCAAAATTAATGATAAAAAACAAATGAAAACTACAGATAAAGTTCATTTTCTTCAGAAAGTCATTCATTCTTGTAATTCACTGCTACTGACAAGCAGGAATTTTTTTTCTTCCTAATGATGGCAATGCTGGCCGAAACTAGTTGAGAAAACAAAAAAATATTAATATACAACCCAGTGTGTCTGAAATTTTAATTTTTTTAATTTCTCAATATTTTTATTGTTCAAAACATGTATGTATGTATATATATATATATATATATAAAAACAATATTATTAATAATATTGATGATGATAATAAGAATATTTATTATATATTAGTAAAGCCTTTAGACCAAATAGCATGATGAGAAAAGATCTTAAAAATTAGAATTTTTTAACACTGTGTTCTTTCTCAATGACAAATAAAATGAAGTTGCACTTTTTAGGGGAATTTTTTTTAAATGTGTTATATTACTGATGAAATTTAGTAGTTTGAGGCTAGTTGTTTGCCACAATTAAGGTTGTAAAGATTTTGTAGATGGCGTTTTGTGAAAACTGTATGCGTTGAGTATGCCAAAACTCCTATTTAAACCTAGAATGTTTTAATTTATTTTAAAAACATATTTTAACTTGGACTTTCAGCATTGTTGACTTTTAAATAAAGGTGCTAAAATGATGCATCTAACATTATCCAATTAGTTGAAATGTGCAGCTATAGTGAAATTGATGCAGTTGTCTTTGATAGTTTTCTTATGGTCATTAAACTGAAGACAGAATTCTGTACCTGTTTCACTGATATAATTTCTGGTTTTGCATTTGTTGCAAAAAAAAGTAAACATATTATATATAAACCATCACAAATCAAGGAAGGAGGTCAGATTACATTACCAGGTGATGTAAAAATACTATCAGTGATAATATGTTTACAAACTTGGCATCTGGGTTTATTACAGATTACATTGCCTTGGTAAGTTGATGATTTTTGTAGTCTAGATGATGTGAGGTGTGATTGTAGATTTGGAGGTTGCCATCTGGCATTAAGTGGAGTTTCACAAAAGACATTATTAATTGGGTTGGGGGGGGGCAAGTTTTATCGGAAATCTTATGGTGAGATAGTTTGTGAATGTTGTAATTACAATCAAAACCATTTTCTAGAATTTTCTTTGTTTGTTTCATAGGTTAGAAGACAATCTGTATTATGCTTGGAAGCCTTAGTGATTGATTATTTTATAATTTTAAGAGGAAAATCATTTCTATTGAGAAATTTCATTAGTTACCCTATGTGTTTTTGTAATCACCAGACCAGATATAGTTTAAGCGTAAATACTTGGTATAGATTATTGGATGGTAGGGTGTCAGCTGCTAACATTTAGGTAGCAATGATATAATAGGTCCTAATACTTACGACACTTGATGAGCGAGATTGGTGAAACTGCAGTGAATAAGTGAGCGTTTATATCTTAACTTGAATTTTATATATATATATATATATAAATTGGTTCCATGAGACATGTGAACATTCAAACGTTCTCGGGGGGGGAAAGAGAATATAAAATTAAAATAAATATGAGTTTTGGCAAATTGACCAATAACACAAAACACCTAAATTGGAAATTTGAAAAATGAAATAAAAAAATTGATAGACAGAACTTGTCCATATTACACTATTTACATTATTCAGACTATTGTCCTCACCTTTGTTGCCATAATTTATCACAACGTTTCAGCCATTGTATGCTCCGGCCTTCTTCAGGTGGTTGGAATGTCAAACTAAACCCTTTATTTCGTTCACTGGGGTGGACTGTTCTAGTTCCACGTGCCATATCTAATGGATGTCAGTTATCCCCTCTCCAAGTACTCCACCACCTTAACCAGGTATTGAACTCACACTCTTTGGATCTAATGCCTTTATCCACTGTGTCATGTGTCCTTGAGGACATCTTTGTATAAATTTCTGGGTATTATTAACCTAATGTCTTCAGCAACCATTTTTTACCAGAGCTCATATTGCAATTTTCATTGTTATTATCACTTTTCTCTGGCACTCCTTATTACTGAAGAAGGCGAGAGTGTACAATGGTCAAAACATGATAAATATGGCAACAAAGATGAGGACAATAGTCTGAATAATGTAAATAGTGTACATAATACCTCATCTCAGAAATATAGACAGATATTGTCCATATTATTTAACCAAACATGTTTTTTATATATATATTAAATGTATGAAATATATATATTAGGTGTCTTCATTCAGTCAATTTTTGTTAAAGACTCCAGACAAAGTGTTTTTTCCTTGACTGATTAATTTCTGTATTTGACTTAACTGCAGATTGAAATACAGTTTACATTATTTTCTTTCTTTTCTCGTTAAGGTTCTCAGCTTTTAACTGGCTTCAGTCAAGAAAGGAAGAAATTTAAAGTGTGTGGTATCTTACACACACACAAACATATATATAATTAATAAATTAAATGAATTCAGTAAATATTTAAATGATTATTATTGACAGGCAGTGTGTATATATATATATATATATTTTTAGTCTATATTTCTGAGATGAGGTATTATGTACAGTATTTACATTCGTCGGACTATTGTCCTCATCTTTGTCGCCATATTTGTCACAACGTTTCGGCCTTCTTCAGGTGGTTGGAATTTCGAACTGAACCCTTTATTTCGATCACTGGGGTAGACTGTTCTAATTCCACGTGCCATGTTTGATGGATGTCAGTTATCTCCTGCTAATTTTCCCTCTGAAAGTTCTCCACTGCCTTAACCAGGAATTGAACTCACCTTCTTTTGTCACTGGATCTAACCAACGCCTTTATCCACTGTGCCATGTGTCCTTGAAGACATCTGGGTATGAACTTCTGAGTATTATAAACCTAATGTTTTCAGCATCATTTTTACCAGTGCTCATATTGCAATTTTTTTTTTTTGCTGTTATCATTGCATGTCTTTACCAGAGTTCATATTGCAACTTTGTTATCATTGCTTTTCTCTGGCACTCCTTATTACTGGTTCCCATATTGTATTTATTTCTATGCTTGGTCGGCTCAGGAGATTTTTGTGGCCTAGCATATGTGCTGATTCCTTAAGTTTACGAATTTTCCAATGGTGTTCCCTATCTATGATCTCAACATGATCCCACAGGGGGCGGTGATCTCCCTTCTCTCTCCATATAACGAAACGTTGTGACAAAGATGAGGACAAAGATGAGGACAATAGTCCGACGAATGTAAATACTGTATATATTTTTAGTCATTTTATCCTACATTATTATTACTATGAACATTATTTTTAGTGGCTACACATGTTTCAGTTGTTAGCCTTGCTTTCTTTTTCATTTTATTAAAGAGTGAAATTGATAATTACCAGCCTAAAGAAAGATTGTGCTTCCAACTTTCCCTGATGGAAAAAGGGATGCAGGTTCAATTCCTGCCAGAGGAACATTTTTTTTTCTTTAGTAAGACTTCTCAATTCAAGCTGGTTGTTATTAATTTCACTGTTTTACAAAATAAAAAACTGTGATAACAACTCAAACATGCATACCCACTAAAACTAAAATCTATAGTACCATATATATACTTGTGTATAAATCGACTGAAATTTTTGCATTAATTTTAACCTCTCCAGAAAAAAAAATACTTCTGTATAGTGCAATGGGGTCACCAAAAATGGAAGATTTTAAACCTCTTCAAAAAAATTACCTCTGTATAGTGCAACCCCCAATTTTTTGCATAAAAAACTGATCATAAAATCTTACACTACGCTTGAACATATACAATAATAAGAAATATATATAATTCCTTGCATTAATTGATAAACACTTTCCTAGCGATAGTAAAATCAGTACAATTTTAAATAAAAATACCCTGAAATTAAGTTACAGTTGTACTGAAAACTTAGAAATGATTATTAAGAAACTTAATGCTAATATCTTGAATAAACATTTATACCAAAATCAAAAAGTATAGATCTTAAATTAAAAAGAAATGAAGATAAAGAAAAATTATCTAACTGTAGAAATCCTCAAAACTGTCCTCTTAATAATAAATGCCATATTGAATCAGCAATTTATCAATGCCATATCACATCTATTGAAGATCCAGACATGATTAAACACATTCTACATTGGATGCACACGGAATGAATTCAAAAGGTGGAACCAACATCAAATGTCCTTTAATAATAATAAATACAGAAATCAAACGTCCCTATCTAAATATCTCTGGCACTTAAAAGAAACCAATAAAACATCAATGGTAAAATGGAAATTAATAAGAAAAGCTATAGCTTGTAGGTCATTAAATGACCCATGTCTTTTGTTCATGCATGAAAAATTATACATTATTAAGTTTCTGAAAAATAAAAATAAAAATTTACTAAATCAAAGAATTGAAATAGCCATTTTTTGTAGGCACTGTCATATATTTTCCTTAAGTAATAATTAATTTTGGGGGAAAAAAAGAAAGATGAAAGCTACATTTTTATATTTGATCATTAATTAATAATTAAATTCTAATATATTTGAAAAAATACCCATAGTCTATTAGTTATTAGAAGGATAAATGGTATTTTAAATCTGTAGGAATAAAATTTAAATATTAAAAATATGACTTACACATATTTAAATGACACTTTTAGAAAATCTTTATGTATAAAAATATGAATTAAATGGATAAATAAAAATGCCAACATTTTTTTTGTCATTGAAATCCCAGACAACTTGCTGAATAACAGATGTATATGTTTGTTAGCAGCCACCCCCACCCCACCTACACTTAACCTGACTTTGTAAGTAACATATATTGGATATGTAAGCTGTGTAGGGAAATTAAAACCCAACCACCCCTAATCAAAATAAATTGAATTTTCCTTAACCTTAACAACTCATAATATTAATATTGTTTGTGCTTATAAATTAAGTAAATTTCTTAGAAAGCTATTCCTAACATCACTTGACAATGAAACGAGACTATGGATTTTAAGTTTAATTTTTATAATTAAATTTATAAATTTAGTTTTAGTTTTGAAACATAGAAATTTCTGTGTAGCGATGGAATCATACTTTTAAAAAGAAAATAATTATAATATTTTGCCCTACTGTTTGTACTGGTCACGTTTTTTTTTTTTTTTTAAATAAAAATAATTGCTAAGGACACCGGATTATAAATCTTACTGTTCTTTGTTATTATATATATATAATAAATATAAGTAAGTGTTCACATACATAAATGGCAAGTGCATGACTAAAAGTATAATTTATAGAGCTAGCATCAAACATGATGGCAAAATCAAATTCTATTTTGGTTCAACTGAAAACCATTGGAAATCACATTTCTACCATCACCAAATGATATTAGGCAATATTAAATATAGTAACAGCACTGCCATCTCTAAATTGTTCTGGAAAATAAAAAGCACCAATAGAAAATCAATGATCACCTGGGATTACATAGCAAAAGCCAAACCTTTCATCAGGAAGGGCAATAAATGTAATTTATGTTTTTTAGAAAATTATTCATTCTATAAAATAGATAACCCTAAGTTGTTAAACAAAAGAAGTGAGTTAATTACTGCATACATACATGGAAACAAATACCTGCACAAGTACCTTGACCCAGTTTAATATAGAATTTTTTCTCATTTGGACACCACATATACTATTGTTAATGTCACTATTATTATTATCATATTATTACTACTATTACCGATCATTAATATTATTATTACCTATTATTATTATTGCTATTAATATTATTACTATTATTATTTTATCACTGCTTACCTATTGTTTTTATTATCAATATCTACTTTCAACTGGTTTTCAAGGCAAAAAAGTTATCCCCCTTGAACACAGCGTTCTAAGCTATTTAAATACTAAATTGAAATTAGAATTTTAATTTTAAGTGTAAATTTGAACCTAAATTTAAATTTAGATTATAGCACAATTAAATATTTAATAATAGTAATAATTTATCCAACTAACACCATGAAATCCAGAAATTTTAACCAAATAACAGCCAGTTCAGTTATACCTGATGATTGCATAGTTAATGAAACTCATTCTGTTGGCATGGGGTATTATATATATATATATATATATATATATATATATATATGAATACAAGGTTGGTGTAGATGGAATAAACTTCTAGTAGCCAAAAACATGGTGCTCAATACAGAGTAGAGTTAATAATATTTATTTAAAAATAGCATATTTATAATAACATCACTATTTGTAGCCATTTTGTTTCAACACTTCAGGTGTCTTGTCAAGTGATGGTGTTGCAAGTAAAATATAGAGTTCCTCTTTTATTTTAATTAGAACTCTTTATTCTACATGCAACACCATTACTTGACAAAACACCCAAAGTGTTGAAACAAAATGGCTATTTTTGTAGTGATGTTATAACATACATATGTTATAATTTTTAAATAAATTATATATATATAAAATTCCCAGCCTGATGAAAATCAGCTACCAAAAAAGTCTGTTTGATCATTACATCAGATTTAAAGAAGTTGGCAAAGATTTTTTTCAGCACACATCATAGATTTATTTCATAAGCACAAATAATAACACAAGATAATATATCTCTAATTGTTTTCTTTTCTATGCCATTACTGTATATCTTCTTTCATGACAAAATCTTCTTCAGGTACATGAAGTGTCTACATAATTACTTCTAAATTACAAACAATGTTTAACATTTTTCTCAATGCATATTAGTAATGTAACTTTTTATATATATATATATATATTCATTTTAAACAACATAATTGCATTTAAGGATTTTTGTTTGTTTTTTCCAAAAATTTTTCTTCATTCTGTCGGATCTATATCCATTTACATTTGCTTACATATATATATATATATATATATATATATATATATATATATATATATACTTTTTTTTTAACAAAGCAAAGGTATGTTAATTATCCAAAAGAATTTGCTAAAGGAAAATAAAAAGAAAGAATTTACATTGTAGACAAAACAATTCAACAAGTAATTCACCTTTTCAATAGTTTTGCCTTTGATATAATTTGTTGATGCATTTAACAATTTCTGTTTTTTGAATTCTTCTTGTTTCCGAAATAATTCTGCTTTCAAGTCCACTAACTGCAAAAAACAGAAAAATAAACAAAGAATGAAGTCTGGAAAATAGTAAGATCAAATGAATGCAAATTATTTTATGATACAACTTTTGTTTTATGTTTTTAATTTTCTGATAAAAGTGAAAGATTACATCAAAAATCTTTTTAGAAAATGACAATTTTGGAGTATATTTTCAAAGGAAAGGTAATCACCCTGTAAGCAGGATATGATACAATTGTAAATGTTATTTATCTATATACCTACTTAATAAAGAATTTATCCTTTATTAACATGGGTCAGAGTGAGTGCAAACATCACTTCATCGTTTTGTAAAAAATCAAAGTTAAAAAAACAAAAACACAATAGAAACATCTTATTTTGGAAGAACAACTTTGATGATTAAATTCATCCTGATTGACAAAAGTGTATACACATTTTCATAATTTATCTAACACATCATCATCTTCTATAAGCCTTTCAGTATGTGGATGATTATGTTTCTTTACAACTTCCTATTCATCCTAATTCAAATGATGATACACCATACAGACTGAAAAAAATAATTAGATACACAAAGCTCACCATTCACCAGAACCAAAAATTCCTATAATGATCAATGTGAAATAATCGTTACGAATTTCTGAAAGAATTACAGATGATAAAAGAAAACTCAACTGTGTTATGCATAAAATGTTGGTTATTCTTTATATTCTGGTAAGCCTAAGAAATGTTGGTTAAAAAAAAAAAACAATTATTTTATGTAGAGTTCATATTTTTATTGAAACATTTGAATAATTATGTTTATGTTTAAGCATCCATCATAAAGTCAGGAGGCATATGTCAGTTTTACAAACACCATAAAGTCAGGATGCATGTGTCAGTCTTACAAACAACTGATAATGAGTTTGCTCCTCATTTGATGATCCAAAAATGTCCTTTCCTGCTAAAGTTGAGAGACAATGTACCACTGTCATCAATCATGTTTCCCTTCCTATGTCAATATCAGTCCCCTATTCTTCAATATATCATTGTCATTAGTCTCCTCTGTAACAACATATCTGAGAGAGGGAACACTTAGACCACCATATGTGATACTTATAGACTGTAGAGCTGTCAGTCAGTAACCAAATATAGTTTTTTTTTTGTTTCTTTCTCAGGATCAAGATTCTTGGTCATTCGACCAAATATAACACTATGGCTGGAACAATCCCAATTGCAACAACCAAATATCACAAACACTATTGATTGGGTCACTATTGATGCTGGACATTAGACCCCTCTACCCACATTGTGTTTAGAAAATCTGACAAAGTCATAAATTCAGGGTTGAAACATCACAAGCCTAAGTTAGCCACTTAATATATAAAACTAAAGTTAATGAATTCTTAAGATTGACGAAATTCTTGGAATAATAATGAAGACTAGAATACCTATAATAGTATAGTAATAATCATCATCTTCCCAATATCCCTTCTTCAGTTTCATTTCCCTAAAACTTAGCATTCAACCAGACCTTGAAAGGCAACTTAAAATATTAAGTATTTTTCAGTCAGTAATTGATTCACATAAATTATTTGAAAGCCAAAATGATTTTTCATTATTTTTATTGTTGCATTCAATTTGCACCTAAAAATAAAAGTTTTAAAATATAAATTACTTTTAGTAAAAACATTTTTATAAATTTAAATATCATGATTATTATAAAACTGAATGAAATACTATGAGCTATTCACAGTTTTTAAAATAAGATCCATAAATTAGAACAACAAACAAATGATACACTTATTTTTCAAAAGATGAATGATTTTAAGCTTCAATCAAATCCAAAGTTTATAAACTAATTTTTTTTCAGTTTCAGTTGAACAAAGTTCATTTTACTTTTTTAAAAAATAAAAATTATTACTTGTCAAATTTCTAAACTTGTACTTTTTGTTACTGACGTGTGTGTTTATTCCAGAGCCTAATCTTGTTTTTAAATGAAACACCAGTGAGAAGTTTAGTAAGAAGTTTGACAGGGAAAAGCCAGCCACAAAATATTAAGAATGCAGGCTGATCAAATAAGAAGGTAAGCAAAACATCTTATAGTAGAAAAGGTGAGTAGTTGTCAATATAAGACTAAGCATTTTAAATGATGTCCATATTGGCACAGAATTGTTTCAAGTCACTACACCCTTCAAAGAAAAACGTTTTACAGCATGATATTTTAGAAATAACAAAGAATTTTTTGTAGTTGCATTTGTTTTGAAGATAAACAATCTATTAGTTTTAAATCCAATTTTACAATTTTTGGGGTTAGAAAAAAAAAAAAAAATGAATACAGAATTTGTTTTCCAAGTAAAAGAAAAACATGAAAATTTTTTGTTGTTTTCATGAGTTTGTGTACATATGAGATTAGACTCTGATTATTGATATGATTTAACATTTATATGATTTAACATTTATCAGAGCAAGAAGTAGGAGCACCAATGAAATATTAAAAATATCAAAATGACAAAATTACCAAAAATTAAATTTATGATCAATGAAGCAACAACAGAGATTTGGTTCTGCAGAAGGATGCTGAGAATGGACAGAACGTGTAAACATGGGATTCAAAATACATTTGTATATAGAATGTCAGGTTAACTCATCTTATTTTTATAAGCTGCTCCTAGGGAGATGCTCTCTGGACTCTAAATTACTCTGCAATAATTTTTCATAGCCTCTTCTTGCTTTATCTGCTTACTTGTCAACATGTAAGTCTCTTGTGGAGAACACACATCCCTTTTGGAAATGCATGAACTAACTACTCATACACAACACATGTATGTACACACATTCAACCATTTCACATACTTTGAAGCCAAACGGTTTTCACATTCTTTGGTTACACACATCATTGTCTTTGTCACTTCTATACCTTTATTGTTAATACATTATCATTTGCTGGTACATATATATTGTTTTTTTTACATTTCTTTATGTGGACTCACATACTGAGTCCACCATGTTTGCTGTGGGTATTTCAGGAGACAGCGTGTTATTCCAAATTTCAAACAGCAACGTTACTAATGCCTGCAACAAGTTGGGAAATGCATAACTAGCCGACAACAAGAATCATAAAAATGATAGCGAAAATTTCTGGGACACATAATAAGAAAAGAGGAATTGGTGAATTTGACACTCACAAGAAATATTGAGGAGCAGAAGGAAACTCAAAATAAACAATTTAACGAGTTATGTAAATGAATGGCAGAACATAAACTGCGAGGGATTGTAGGGAAACAAACACTGTTTACTTTAGAGATACAAAGCCTAAAGGATAGGAAGTTGTGGAGAGTCATGATCGTCTACGTCCTGAAAAGATACGACATAAAACTACTAAAAGATGACGAAATGGGGTTTCTGTTTGTTAGTTGCACAGTTTCTCCGATTTTCATGCTTTCAGCCATAATTTTTTACGTTTAGTTAATTAAATCACGTCACTTGATTATCAAATTCACGTTAACATACATTTTTCATTTTTGGGTTCAGTAAGTTTCAAAAGTAACCGTTTTTTTTTTTTTCTTCTATTCTTTTCCGGAGAAAAACTGCAGATATTTAATGCTGTGTTTTTCTTTTATCTTTACGATTATTTTATTTGGTTTTACAGTCGTAAATTAGAGAACTAATCCCTCCCCCACAAAAAAAAAAAGAAAAGAAAAAAAAACACGAAATAAATTTTTAAATATCCATACCCACCAAAAAAGTTTGTTAGAATTTGTTTATAAACTTAAAAACATTTCTCTTTAAATTTCAGATAAAATTAATCATTTATTACGAAAAAAATTAGTGACACTATAAAAATGTTTCCAAGCCAATATTTTTAATTTAAAAAGGGATAAAAAAAAATAAATGTCGATAAAAAATTGTGTCCTGTCGTAAAGAAGAGTTTACAAAACTGGATATTGAATTAAAAATTATTTGTGAAATATCTGGATTGTGTAAGGAAATAAACCGAGATTACAAAAATAGAGATAAAAAAAAGGATTCTCTTACCGAAGCTGAACTTATTCCAGACATTATTTTTGGTTTTAATATTTGTTATTCAGAGTAAGCGGTGTCTAAAGCGGTGTATATCCAATTTGTCCAAGTTTATTAATGGTCCGAGGAAGTTGAGTAATTTGTCCCTATTGCGCATTAGATTCTTACATTAAAAACGGCTTTATGTCATATTCAGTTCTAGTAAAAAGAATTAAAGAAAAATTAATTTTTGAATCTTAAGATACATTTTTATGTCGTTGTAATAACTAAATAGACTCTTTTTCTTTCGTAAAAACAACTAATTCAAAATCAAATTTAAAATCACCATTGTTTGTCCATGTATATTATAAAAAATTAGAAAATATATTCATTTTAAATACAGAAAAGGTCATAAACATGACTTGAAAGGGGTTGTTGCAAGACAGAAAGTAAAATACTCCCACATGACACAGATGCCCATTTCAATTTCATCCAAATTGTGTGTGTATACCAGTGTGTACATTTGAGTGTGCATTTAATTCAATAACAGCACTTAAAATATTTCTGCAAATTTGTTTTAAATCTTAAAAAATATTTCTATTTATTACTGAATAATTTCCAAAATGCTCAATAAAATTTTATAATTATCAGATTTTTAGGGTTTAAAAATAACTTTTTTTTTTCTTGTCTCTAAATTTATGATTTTATTGCTCTGCCCAGGGTACTGGTTGTCCAGATTGAATAGGAAAAGAATGTATTATTTCAAAATCTTATTTAAAACTCACTCAAATTGTGTGTGTGTGTGTGTGTGTGTGTGTGTGTGTGTGTGTGTGTGTGTGTGTGTACATTAAATAGCACATGCACATGTAAGTCACTCACGAAAAACACAGGTATAGGTATCTACATTACACACATACAAAGTCACATGTGTGGTGGACAAAGAACCAGCTGTTCTTTTGATTTACAAAAAAACTGTATAAAAATGGCATTTTATAATTTGCTTTTTTACTGATTATATACAAATATTTTCATTTTTAATTGATGATGATCACTTAATTAAAAATCTGCAATAATTAATTCCTTGTAACAAAATTGTAGGATTAAAAATGGCCTCAGATATTGAGGATAAAGGTAAGTTTTTGAAAGGTTACAGTAGGGGTAATACCTGAACTTAATTCTTTATTTAATTAAAAGAACCAATACAAATAAAAATTGATATCATTATGCAAATATAAGATTATTTTCCTTCAAAGTTCATTGACTACAACTTAAAGAGTTTAAATATTCTGAAAAATATATATATATATATATATATATATATATATATATATCAGTGAAAAGGACATAAATACTAATATTCCATGGTCAGTCAGAGTTTCTTCCATTGAATCTTCCTTCGATCCAAAGAAACAACAGAATCTAGCAAATTGTTTTTAATAAAAACAAAAAAAACAACCAGCTGAAATCAAAAAACAAGAATTTTGCAAAGAAAGTGACTGTTGTTTAGGAATTAGAGGGACATTAAACAGTAATTGAAAGAATTTTCAAGAGAAATTATGGGATTTGCAGAAACTGTTTTGAGAGAAAGAAAGTATATATATATATATATATATAATAGATACTATTGGGATGGATGACATATATCAAAAAGTGCCAATAGACAATTACTGATAGGAGGGGAAAAAAAAAAAAAAGGAAGAGAAAAATTATTAATCCTAGAGAAATGGGCAACCAGCTGGAAAAGAAAATTTGATGTTTTCATACAAGAATAAGGGCCGCATTGTAAATATGTTCCCAGGGTAATAAATACCTACCACCCCTGGTTATTTAAATCAAATTATGGCTATTGTTCCAAGATTTTTATAACGATACTTGTATGAAACTAGCAGTAGTATATTTTGAATTATTTAATAATGTTTATTAAACATATTAGTATCCACATAAAAAACATGCATACAAGTAGGAAGCTACATCTGATTGCTTAAGCATTGAAACTTGACTGATTTGGCATCAGTCAGAGACTCTACCTCTGAGCTATCAGCGCATGGCAGAGAAATGGAATCTTCTAACATATTATATATGTGATGTATATAAACGTCAAATCATTAGCCAAGAGCACTCAATTCATAACTGAAGAGTGATGTGTTAATAGCAGCAGCAGCCACTGCTGAAAATTTTCCTTTCCTATAGTGCACAGCTGGCAAACGAGGGCATAAATATTATATATACATGTGTGTATATGTTGGCACCCACTTGCATTGGGATTGTCATCTTCTCGCCCTATTCCCTTTCTCCCCACCACCTATGACAGTAGTGGAGATGACTGTGAAGACCCAGTCTACTTCTTAAAAGTCATGAGCATAAGTTAAAGAGGAGTGTGGGTGGTGGATGTGGCTGGCAGTGTCAGGCTCATCTGACAGCACATCACAGATCCTCTTCATGTTGACTGTTGGACTCAAAAGTCTTGCCACCCCCCCCACCCCAGATTTTCATACACCAAGAAGGCCAATTTGCAGCAATGGTTTTCCAGGTCTCACAATGTTGGCCTATGGCAGGGATGTTTTCAATTGATCCTTGAAATGTTATTTTGGACCTCTGTGTAATGTCTTGCCGCTGGGGAGTTCTCTAAACAGGATGATATGTAGAAGTCAACGGCACATAATCCACCTAGCAGAGGTGAAGTTGAAGGATAGTAGGCTTGATGTTGGGGAGAGACATATGTGTTTGTGTGTGTGTATGTGTATATATATATATATATATATATATATAGTCCCCTCCAAAAGTATTGGAATGGCAAGGACAATTCATTTGTTTTTTTTTTTCACTGAAGACATTTGGGTTTAAGATCAAATGATGAATAAGAGACAAAAATTCAGAATGTCAGCTTTTATTTCCTAGTAATTACATTTAGATGTGTTAAACAACTGAGGACATACCACCTTTTGTTTGAACCCACCCCTTTTTCAAGTGAGCAAAACTATTGGAACACATGGCCAACAGGTGTTTCTTGTTGCATAGGTGTTTACTTTTAGATTGATCATTTAAACATTAAATAGCTCTGAATGACCATTCTTCATTTTAGACTTGGTTTTCACCTGTAAAGACTGCATTTCTTGTTAAAAAGGATAAACCAATATGAAGATGAGAGAGATCTGTCTATGGGAGAAATGCAAGCCATTTTAAAGCTGAGAAAAGCAGGAAAATAGATCACCACCATGGAACAAATATTGGGCATAGCCAACACAACAATTTGGAATGTCCTGAAAATGAAAGACATTACTGGTGTACTGAACAACAGTCATAAAACAGGTCAACCAAGGAAAACAACAACAGTTGATGGCACAAACATTGTGAGAACTGTAAGGAAAAACCCAAAGCAACAGTCAGGGACATCACCAACAACCTCCAAGGTGCAGGAGTGCAGGTTTCACAATCTACTGTTTGAAGAAAACTTCAACAGCAGAAATATAGAGACCATACCACAAGATAAAAACTACTTATCAGCAGTAAGAATCTGAAAGCTAAATTGGAATTTGCAAGGAAGTACAGAGATTAGTGCCAAAAGTTTTAAAAGAAAGTTTTATGGACTGATGAGACCAAGATTAATCTCTATCAAAGTGATGGAAAGGCCAAAATGTAGAGAAAATAAGGATCTATTTATGATCCAAAAGCCTACAAACTCATCTGTGAAGCAATGGTGGAGGCAGTGCCTTGGCTTGGGCTTGCCTGGCTGCTTCTGGAACAGGCTCATTTTATTGATGATGCAACTAATGTTGCTAGTAGCAGAATGAATTCAGAAGTGTAAAGAAACATTTTGTCTGCCAATTTACAGAGAAATACATCCAGACTAATTGGGAGGAAGTTTATCATGCAACAGGACAATAACCCAAAAGATATTACCAACACAGCAAAGGACTTCTTCAGGGGAAAAAAGTGAGACAGTTTTAGACTGGCCAAGTCAATCACCAGACCTTAATACAATAGAGCATGCAGGGAAAAAAATCCAAAACAAACAAAAACTGAAAAGCACTGTGTTAAAAGTCTGGAAAAGCATCACAAATGAATTATACAACAGTTTGATGATTTCAATTGGTCACAGACCTGATGCAGTTATTGCATGTAAAGGTTATGCAACTAAATATTAAATGGTATTTACTTTAAGACTATCTGTTCCTTACTTTTGCTCACCTAAAAATGAGGTGATCTGATACAAAAGATGGTATGTCCTTAGATGGTTAACACATCTAAATGTAAATACCAGAAAACAAAAGTTGAAATTCTGAATTCTCATATTCATCTTTTGATCTTAAACACAATTGTCTTTTGGTTTGAACTCTTCACCTTTCATTTCTCATTTTCCCTTTTGTAAAATGTCCATTCAATTTATTTGTTAATATTTCCTTGTTCAAATTCTATGTCTTATTTTTCCTTTAGACTTACACAATTACACCAAAAATTATTTGTGGATCAAATGTACGAGGAACATATAAAATCTCATCAAAAGTGTTGAAGCCTGCAACAATATATACAAAATAATGATTAATTCAAAAATAACTTTTATAAGCTTAATACATATAATATTTTCTAACACAAATTTTTAAACAAGAGTATTAAACGAATGAAAATATCAAGAATTCAAATCAAGCAAAAGTCAAGATATTTAAATACATTCCAATAAAGACCCACTAATAGAAAAAAAGTGTTGCTTGTAGCACAGTCTAATTATAACAAAATCTAAAGTTCTTATTAATACTGCACATGACTCTTACTACCATTACAAAATACTGTGTTGGTAGCTAAAGGTGTATGCAGTGAATATAGTAAAAGTGAACTTTTAAATATAATCAGTAAAAATGGTTTCTTAAAAAAGTATCTGGAAAACATTGATTCATTGACAAATATAAGTTGGAGGTGATTAGGTCACTGATCTGTTACATGGATTTAGCTGTAAGCTAATTATTTTGCACAATTTTTTATTTAGCAAGATTTAAAATTTGTTTCTTTAAAAATTTGAAGTAAGTTTGTGAATTAATTACTCAAACTACAAATTTGAAATTTCC